TTGCTGGACAAGAAGGGAGAAATTGGACGACATTTCCAACTATCGCCCAATCTGCCCGTCTGTAACCTACAAACTATTCACTCGAATCATCCACAGTAGGACTGCCAAATACTTGACGAAGGACAGCCAGGGGAGCAAGCAGGGTTTCGAAGAGAGTTTAGCAAGTCGGCCATATCCACACGGTTACAAAAGAGTCATTGAAGTTTCACGAGAATATAAGATGCCCTTTGTATTACGTTTATTGATTTGAAGAGGGTCTTCGACTCTGTGGGGACAGAAGCGGTCATCGAAGTCCTTTGGGCAACCAGGGCATCCCTACTCTGTAAGTCAAGATTCTTCTTGAGCTCTACAGCAACTTTACGACCAGAATCTCAATCTTTTCAACGGCCACTTCGGTTTGCTGAGTATGCTATGCCATAACGCGATATTTAGCGGTAGCTGGTCGAGCAAGCAGAGCGAATGCTGTTTGATTTAGACACGCCAGTGGTGTAGTCGGTTAACAGCTGAACCTAACGAAGCCGATGTTTATGCAAAACGGGTTGGGTCCTAATGCCCCATTCAGGCTCAACGGAAAGAACATCACCTAATGCTCCAGCTACGTGTACCTAGGTCGCGGAGCTTCATTGATAAACGACCAGTCTCTAAGCTGAAGCGACAGGATTTAACACACATTGACGACAACGCGGGGGATATATATCCCGCGCATTGCAGGCCATGTCGGACCGTGCGGGATATATATCCCCCGCACCCATTACACTCATTTTTTTCGCGCACGCCTGATTCTTTTAGAAGTTTCTTGTATTCATTCCATGGAAGAGACCTTGACGTAGCTACAAACATAGTGGCCCTTAGAATGGTCACGTATACTTTAATTTAGAGGAGGATTTCTAAACCATACGAAATCTTCATTTCAATAAATTTTTCGTTTACTTTTTCTTTTTATTAATGTGAAGATTTAAATAGTAGTAGAAGTAGATAAGGAACCTTAGGGATGACAACATGTGTGTTTTGATTGGAATAATCGCCGTAAAATTGCTTTTGAATTCCATTGCAGCTAGTTCTGATAAATTTCGCTTTTTCATTGTTACTCCATGTCTTTCGATCGAAATTCCACTACTGCTACCCCTGGTTAGGTTGCGCTCATTACAATTTACTGATTGGTTTTGAATTGATCATTAGTTGTGTATTTATCACTCAAAATCTGCTTGAACGACCTGAGGCGAGCGCGCCCGCAAAATCGCCGCGGTCCCACGTGGCCAAAAAAGCCAAAACTCGCGTTGTCGTCAATGTGTTAAACGCTGGGCATGGTATAAAACTCGAGGAAGTAGTGAAGAAGATGAAGAGCAGTACTGAGTCCTCGGGATATTAAAGAACTCCAGGACGACCGCCTGCCCGATGGCCAGACCTCTTCATGAAGCTACTGAACAAGGGAAATGAGCACTTTGTGTCTTCGACGAGGAGGATCTATTGGCCACTTTGCAATGACAGTGCTAATGGAGACTTGATGCACCCTCGGAACTCAGATGATTCAACTCGATACAGGTGAGACAGGGTGAATGTGATTTAGCACAGGCTGTGCGGGTCTCATGGGTCATTAATGTGGAGATGATTCGAGTCGTTGTCAAACATGGATTGAAGCGTCGTATTCAAGTGAATGCCTGCACAACAAGTGGATTGCTCTTTGAAAAGTCTGTTTTGAAGGATATCATGCGAGAGGGGGCCGACGACCGTACCCATCTGAATGATAATTTAAGAGCAACCATATTGAATAAAATCTATCAGTGTATATGTTTGGAGATGATCGAACGCTGCTATAGTTGTTATCCCGTCTCGACCATTCCTTTCCGAATTGGGAAGCTGCCGAAATTGTCTTCCTTTTTTGTACCCCCCTGTGATATCAAGGATCGACGAACGTATTATCAGGCGAACTTAGGTGAAAAATGAAGACTGCAATCATTTTAATGCCTACCGAGGCTCTGCCAGCTGAAAGGCAGAGATGCCCTCTTTGAGGCAGGGTGGGAAATCGCTTGAGGAAACGACAACGGCTCGTCGAGGATTTTTTCACGCTCTCCCACGCGGATGCTCACTCTCGCCACCCGCGAGCCGTCTGTGCTCTCCGCGCATGCATTCACTCTCGACACTACTCTCGCACAGTAGAGAGCCATGGTCGAGGAAATCCTCGTCCGTTCTTAACCCTGCTTCGACGTCCGCGCACTGCATCACGAAGGGCAGCAGGAAAAATCATCCAAAAATTTTGTTCTAGTCTCTTTCCACTTATTCGCTCTTTCATTTCTCCGATTTGAGAACTGACATGCGGTCTCATAATTGAATAATCGAACGGCATCAGGTAGCCACAGCTTCAGACTGAAACAGATTGGCAACACTGCATTGCGAAGAGCAATGCGAGGAAGCAAATCAGTGAAAAGTTCACCACGATCCATGATATCCGATGGTCATTGAAGGAGTACGGGAGTATAAGCTGCCGCTATGCCTCTTTTTGAGGACTTGAGGGAACGTCTACGATTCTATCAAAAGAAAAGCGGTTACCGAATCTCTGAGCACCTGGGGTGCTCCTGCTTATTCTTTTAACGGATTCTAAGAAAATTACAACAGTTTACACCTCAAGGAAGTTTCGAGGTTATTGAAACGACAAGACGACTTCAACACTCTACAACGAGTCATTAGTTAACGAGAAGAGTGGAGTTTGAAAAGAGCCGCCATCTCGCCCACACTTCCAACTTTCACGTTTCTTGAAAATTTCATGCCTTTCAAAAAAGGGAATCCATAGGAGTGACCATGACCGGCAACTACCTCTCCGCGCTACTGACCATGAGCTGAGCAGAGGAGAACGAGAAGCATGAAGAAGGAGCAAATCATCGAATACATTATTATGCATGCTTCTCGTCTTAAATGAAGATATGCTTCATACTTAGTTATTTCGCCGCTGGGACAGGATGATATGTAGTTAGAGTTTCCCAATATGCGTTTTTACGAGAGATATGGTGTCCCTACTCTGTCAACTATGAACTATCAGGGACGTTACCGTGTGATTTAGTGATGACCATTGGACGGAAGCGTTTACAGATTGGATCCCCTGGGGAATCAAGCACCAGGACGATTGCTGGTCAGCTGGTCAGATTTCTCGAAGCCACTGCAAGAAATGAACGGAACTGTAATGACCGAGGGGAATTTGTAATACGTACATTTTTCGAAGATTCTACGGTCCGATACAACTCACAACCATTTTCGCGTGCAAGGTAAGTGGTTCTACAATCGCTTCCGGATAGAATGTAACCTTCGTGCACTCTAGGTTACAGCTCCTTACTGGGACTGCATGGGAGCACTCCAGTGAAAGGAAAATCACAGATGCAAAAAAAGGATCATTATCCAGGGGATCTTCGTACTGTGCCATGTATCCGAGGGCGGAAGTGGTGTAGTGACAAGTGGCGCGCTTACCACGCGAGCGGTCCGGGGATCAAATCCTGGGTCGTGAGTCGCCCGGGCCAACCAAGCCTTCCATCCCTCCGGGGTCGGTTAATTGGTACCAGACTTGTCTGGGAGGATAAAAACACTGACTTGTACATCGGCTGGCCCCCGCAAGTCATTGTATAGGCCACATCGCATTCAAACGCCACTACGAATGTACAAATGGAAGTAGAATGCGTGCCGCATCCCAAAAAGGGATTGATCAACGGCAAATGCTTTATCCTTTTATTTATCCGACAGCGAATCATAATCTTGAAGCTGCCTGATCAGAAGTGGGCTGCAGTGGTCGGAGAGTTCTATTAGTTAATTTCACCACTGTATGTTGTCCAAATCTATCCCACGTAGGAAAGTCTCAGGGGCTTACAAGTCATAGTTGGGCTTTTGTGTTTAAGGCGAAAAAAAAACTAGAAAGTTGATGAATTATTCGGTATTCATTTGTGCATTTGTACCATCCTGATATATTTTTCAAAAAAAGTACGCATCGTTTCCGGAACGTACCCTTTTCCTTCCATGCTTCGCCACGGCCATTTGTGACGTTTCCCGTGTTGAATCTTGCAATAAGGTCGGAAACTTTCTCTATAAATATTACCGTCTTCGGCACAATTTTAGAAGGGCTGGAGGCACCCAATGAGTGCAATTAATTGTACAATGTAGGCAAAAATACGGTAAATAAATTAAACATAAGAAGCAATGTGGCCAAAAAGATCTGAATTATGATCGCTTTTGGGTTTATGTATAAACAAACTCTTAACGTGAAGCTCAAAGTCCCCTTGTGTAGGTGGGTGTTGTCGCGTAAGTTCGGAACAAGAGCGACTGATAAACTATTCGATGTTCTTGTTATGTAGAAAGCGGCGGACTGCCTTCGACACGATCAATGCAGTGCATATTGAGGGCTTCGAGTTTGTAGAAGTACGCTCCTCCGATGTTACGAATTCTATGATATCCCGTTCGCACCAATTTCGGACAACCCCGCCTTGTTGATGGGTGCTCAATCTTGCTCTAGTGCCGCACTGTTTCTTAACACATTGACGACAATGCGAGTTTTGATGTTTTTGGCCATGTGGGACCGACGCGATTTTGCGACCGCATTTGTCGCGGTATACATATCCCCCACGGTCCAACAAGGCCCGTTTTTGGAAGCTCGAACGTATAAACAACTTTAGAGAGCGGTGACTAAGTAAGTTAGCTTACATGATAAAAGCACAAACAAAGTGGCTCCTCCAGCAGAAGTTTCGATTGAGTAAACGCCTATTTAGGGTTACAAAATGGATCAAATTGAAGACCTTGTTGAAGAGTGTTCGTATACGTTTTTCTACTATAAAAGTTGGAACTTCTTACAACTTGGCAAATTTATCGTTCTCAACGTTTTGGCCAAACATTCAAATGCCATTCACAATTTTACTTCTTTCTTAAGAGTTAGTGTGAGTTTGAGCTGAATTGAAAAGTTCACGAGTTTTGGAAAACCTTTGTTAAACTGAAGCATATTTAACTATTCCATGGACCACAACGTTTATAGTTATATCAATATCCGATCTATAAAATAGAAACAAAAAACTTCGGAAGAAGTCGTGCATCTGCGAAAAAAATGATGGAATGGGTGCGGGAGACATATCCCCGCACGGTCCGACGTGGCCTGCAATGCGCGGATATACAGTAGTGGCCAGAAATTTATGAACAAACGGTTTTTTCATGATTTCTCTTTTGAAAGTCACTGGAACGTCTCCAAATTTGCAACAATTATTAACTACGTGTTTTATGATCCACACAGAAAATTTCAACCTTCAGCTCAAATTTGGGTTTAGAAAATTTTAGATTTTTCGAAATTAATGAAGGCAGGTGAAAGATCACTTGATCCGTTTATTTGATTTAAATAATGTATAACCCAACAGAACAGTCAAGTAAACAGTCACTAACATTAAGCAAGTCTAGCACATTGCCCAGAACTCTCTAAAGTATTGGATACATAAACTGGATTTGAATGCGGGGTCAACTAATGAACTCACTCTCTAGTGGGGTCTCTCTCTGTAGTCCCGTCCTTTCGTGGCTCTTTCATTGACATACGAATTTGTAGGTCCTCCCCTAGTGGTTCTGTAATGTTTGGCTCAAGAGTCTGGCTGGCTGGTCTTTTAACACATTGACGACAACGCGAGTTTTGGCTCTTTTGGCCACGTGGGACCGCGGCGATTTTGCGGGCGCGCTCGCCTCAGGTCGTTCAAGCAGATTTTGAGTGATAAATACACAACTAATGATCAATTCAATACCAAATCAGT